CATGATCCACACAATCGAAAGCCTTTGCGTAGTCAATAAAACACAAGTAAACATCTTTCTGATATTCTCTACTTTCAGCCAAGATCCATCGGACATCAGCAATGATATCTCTCATTCCACGGCCTCTTCTGAATCCAGCTTGAAATTCTGGAAGTTCTCTGTCAATGTATGATTGTAGCCGTTTCTGTATTACCTTTAGCAAAACTTTACTCGCACGGGATATCAAAGAGATTGCCCTATGATTTCCACATTCCGTTGGGTCACCTCTCTTTGGAATGGGCACAAAAACGGACCTCTTCCAATCAGTTGGACAGATAGTCATTTCATAGGTGAGGTTACATAACTGGCTGACTGGCCCACAGCTTGTAAAGACAAAAGCTAAGAAGGAACCCCAGGCCCACTCCACTAAACAAAACCAGGCATTTGACACTTTCTAGACATTGACTTGGTGGTGGTGGTAGTTATGTGCAGTGGAGTCAGTTCCGACTTATAGTGACTCTGTACAGTGTTTCCGAGGCTGTAAAATTGACTTGGTGGTACAGTTAATAAGACGGTTGCTAACTGAAAGGCCTCAGATGAAAAGTCTGGCAAGCGTCTATCCAACAAACTGACCACTGAAAACCTTAAGGAACACACAGTCCTGCTCTGACACACGAGTTCGCCACAAGTCAGGAGTGACTCATGGACAGCTGTAAATCTGGGCATTAAATGCTGGTACTGTGGGTTAAATGTTGGGCTAGTAACTGAAAAGGTCAGGGGTTCAAACCCATTAGTCAATCCTGGGGAGAAAGACGAAGCATCCATCTGCTTCCTTAAAGATTTACGGCCTCTGAAACCCTCTGGATACGTTCTACTCTGTCTTAGAGGTTTGCTCTGAGTACACATCTACTTGATGGCAGTTGGATTTTAGAAGTGAAATGGAAAACAATTTTCATCTTGTGAACTGAGGCTTTCTTCTAAGAGATCAAAAGACGATCCTTGCATCAGACTACTCCTAGATTTCCAGAGTGCAGACAAGATTATTCCCTTTTCTATGCTCAAAGAGAAAGTAGATTAGGTTGCTTACAGTGTATCACAGAACTTTTGTAACCAGATTCTGACATCAGCTTCTAGCGTTACTACATATTGGTCACCAGATGGCGCACTGTGTCTGTGATTCAGATGACTGTCCTGAATTTCTGGTTGGGTGGGTGCTAAAAGCCACGTATCTGCTTGTCAAAGTTGCTGGGCAATTTCCAGCATCAGAAATCGTTACCAAATAGTCTAGCCAATGTTTCAAGTCTCTGATTCAAGAACGTGGCCTGGGAGAAGTTACAGGGGAGGAGAAGTTACAGGGGGAGGATTAAGATTTAAAACGAAAAAAGGGAGGAAAAAAAAAAAACCCAGAAAAGTACAGGGCATCAACACCCCTTTCTTTGCTGTTGTTGTTACTCCGCTTTGAGACTCTGCTCTTTCTAAAACGACTTTTCAAGACTTTAAGAAGGGGAACCACTGTAAGTGCTAAAGGTCTTTAAAACATATTAAACTAACTTTCAGTTGAAAAACAAAAACAAACAAACCACACTGGTCTTTATAAAATACTCACGAACCAGAACACTCACCAGTCACTGAAAATTAAGAGCAAGCTATACCTTAATAGCAAACTGGAGACGAAATTAAAAATAATGTTAAGACAATTGGAACTAGATTGAGAAAAATTACTCAGGTTTTGGCTCATGGAATACCCTGGTGGTTTCATACAGGAACAGAGCTTAAAAATAACAAGAGAGATGCTTCATAGGCCCCACCCCCATTACATGCACCTTTTATAGAGACCTAGAGTTCCTGGGGGGGGCGGGGGGGGGAGGTACAATCAGCCCTTTCAACACACAGAGGTACCTTGGGAGGGCACAGTTAGTTCTACTCTGACACACATGGGGTCACCATGAGTTGGGGCTGCCTTGACAATAACTGGGTTAACTAATCCAGAGACCCAGAACCTGTGAGTCATTGTGAGTATTCATTTCCTCTCCCCTCGGTTCTCAATACAACATGGCAGAAAGAAGAAACAACAGCGTGTCCTCGATCTGACTGCCCACAGGAAACACCACAGGGAGCTGGGGACAGACACCACAGGTCTTGGTGGAAGTGCATGCCGGGAACTCCACTTTGGCCCTTGGTCTGCACAGTCCAGATGTGCTAGTAATAGAGGCCGCGACAGGAAAAAGATGATGAAACTGCAGTCGCACATGCGCCCACTAGCACCCAGATTTCAACTGGGACAGGGTGTCAGAACCACTCGGGAGCTTTTTCCTTTTCTGAATAACACATGTCCTGCAATCTTCCCTGGAAATTCTGCCCTGACTTGAGGGCAAGAAAGGGCAGGTGATTTGGATCTGGCTTACTCACCATTGTTGTTGTTGTTGTTGTTATGTGCCGTGGAGTCGGTTCCGACTCATAGCGACCCTGTACAGGGTTTCCGAGGCTGTAAATATTTACGGGAGCAGAAAGCCTCATCTTTCTCCCGCGGAACCGCTGGTAGTTTCAAACTGCTGACCTTGTGGCTCACAGCCCAATTCGTAACCACTACGCTACCAGAGCTCCTTACAAGAGTAAAATCAGGAAGAACTGAGAATGAAGTGCAAAGAGGATCCGACCCTTCTTCCCTCCAGATACATTTCTGTTAAAGGATGCTGCCTTTTCACTTGAACCTGCACCAGCGGGAGAGCAGGGCCACATCCATCCAGAAACCTTGAATAGCCACACGCTCCAAGCAGATGGAATAGTCACCCTGTCCATGAGTCATGAAACTTTTTGCCAAAATATTTCAGTCAAGTTAATGAAAAGTTCAAGCGGAATGTCAAAGTCACATCAGAGATCATAATGCTATAAAGTTCATGTCATAGGTTTCTGTAAAATAAGTTTCAAAACTGAATATGCCCTGTTCAACAATTAATCTTACAATGACAGAGTAAGACTAACTGTAAAACCAATACCTTTTTACTTCTGGTTTAATTTCGTTATATGTTTTAAGACATACAACTAGTGAGACTAAGGAAAAGTCCCTGTGTTCTACTGCTGGTGGAAGCGGGTATTACTCAACATTTATGGAAAGCAACTCAGTAATAGCAAAAGCCTTACAAGTACATACCACAGAAATTACAACGCCACAGATCTATCCCAAGAACAGGACTGTGAGTGTGTAAAAACTGGGCTGCAATTTCACAACACTGAAACACTTAGCGAAATGACTTGGTTAAATCATAGGACGTTCAAATTGAAAAAAAACAAGAATCCTTCAGTAATGAAAAACAATACATGTTTACTGATATGAACACATTTTCAAAGAATATTCCCATAAAGACAAGAGTCCCAAATAACACAAAAAGCACAATGTCATTTTTGTAAAACTATGTATAAAAACATGTATAAAAATTTTGAAAAAATATTTGTGTGTGTGTTGTGTGTATGTTGTTGTTGTTATGTGCCGTGGAGTTGGTTCCAACTCATAGCGACTTTGTACAGGGTTTCCAAGGCTGTAAATCTTTACAGGAGCAGAAAAGCCTTATCTTTCTCCCGCGGAACAGCTGGTAGTTTCAAACTGCTGACTGTGAGATTAGCAGTCTGCTTCGTAACCACTACGCTACCAGAGCTACTCGTGTGTGTGTGTGTGTGTATGTTGTTGTTGTTTAGTGCTGTCGAGTCAGTTCCAACCCATAGCGACGCTGTTAAGGATTTCCAAGGCTGTAAATTTTTACAGAAGCAGAAAGCCTCATCTTTCTCCCACGGAGCAGCTGGTAGTTTTGAACTGCTGACCTTAAAGTTCGCAGCCCAAATCGTAACCACTACTCTACCAGAGCTCTCTATCTATCTATCTATCTATCTATCTATCTATCTATCTATCTATCTATCTATATATCTATAGTTACATGTTGGTAAGTTGATTCCAACACATAGCGCAACTCTGGTTAAGGAGCAACTGGTGAGTTTGAACCACCAACCGTGCAGTTAGCAGTCCAGCAGATTGAGAAATCTGGGAAGATTAAAGGAATCCTGGTGTAGTGCTATGGGTTAATGTGCTGGACTGCAAAGTCAGTTTGAACCACAAGGTCAGCAGTTCAATCTCACCAGCCCCTCCTCAGAAACCCTATACAGGGTCACTATGGGTGGGAACTGATGATTGAAATCTAGGGACGCAAGATCAGCGGTTCAAACCCACCAGCCTCTCCTCAGAACCCCTAATCAGGAAGGTTATGAGTCAGAAATGACACAACAGCAGTTACAATAAAAACAACTCAAGGAAAGGTATTTCAACTTATAAAACAATGCCTGGATTTGAAATCCTGTTTATGCAAATAAACAAGGTCTCAGTGGAGACCCAATAGTACACCTCCAGAATTTGAGATTAGATCAGGTACAGTCACTCAGAAATACCATAGGGATTAGAGCAAGACCAAACTACAAGTAGAAACCAGATCACCAGGCTCTCTTCAGGGCAAACTCACTCCTAATTTGACACTGAAAACAGCAACAAAAACCCCTAATACCCACAGCAAGAACAGGCTCTTAAGGAAAATGTAAATTACATGTATCTCCAAGTAACTGAATGTCATGTACCTCTTAGATATATTTTGATATACAGGATCAGTTTAATCACAAACACAATAAAAGCTACCCGTCTGGCCTCCACCATGCATTCAATTCATACAGAACCGTAAACATCTTGTGCAGGGGTTTTAATGAAGTGTAGATCCACTCTGGGTTAACTACTCTTGGTTACACTTAATCAGAACTGAATAAACAAACTCGGTATTAGTCACACTTGTGCAAGTTATTCCATTTCGCCGAGTCCAGAAGAGGTTTCCATGTGATCTTGTTTAAATCAGCTAAACATCTGGCCGATATGGAAACTATTCTGTAAGGCACAGGAGGACCACACGCTCTGAGAAGACATGAGCTATGAGGCTGAGGTCAGGCCCAGGGATGCTGGAAGGAGCAAGTTTATGGAGAAGACTACTTACAATGAAGCCAAGCTTTTTATAATCCCGGGTGTACATGGACTTGCGCTTCTCCATGCTGCCACTGTTGTTATTTGGCTCAGACTCGGCATCAAAAGCAATTCTTCGAAGTTCAAAGATGATGTCTCTCTGAGCCTGAAGGAATTAGAAGACAAAAATAAAAGGGAGATCTTGCTTTCCTTTTGTGGCATTACATAACCTCTCTCTAATCCCAGGTCTGGATGAATCTGCATTTATGCAAAAGAAAAACAGATGAAATAAAAGGCATCCAATATTCTAAATCAGGGCTTGTCTTCTTCCTGCTACAAGCCCTGCTGGTCAGCCCTGACTTTTTTCCACAATTAAACTCACAGCTGAATCATTTGGAGTGTTAAGGACTGTCCCAGTGCTTTTCTAAGCGAGAGCCACAGATAGGATGGAAGGGTTACGGCTGGAGAAGACCAAGCTAGAGAAACTTGGAAGAAACAAAACTTACGAATAGCATTCAAGCTACAAAGGGGTCCCTCTTATTTCCACTAGAAGGGACTTCCCGCCCGGAAACGAATTCAGCATTAAAAGAAGAGGAAGGGTTTCCAAACAGGGAGGTTGTTCTGCAGTAAGACGCATTGTTCTCCATCACTGGAAGTCTCAAGGTGATAATGTCCTCTCTCTCTGGGCTGACTACTCATGGCCTTGCCAAAAATGCGGGGGCATACTGCATAGCCTCTGCGAGCCTCCCCATGGTTCGTAATCACATGGCCTCCTGCCATGAATGAAATGCCGCAGTAGTTCCACACTTCGCATGAGCCGTTCACATCTGCAATACATCAGGTCCTCACGTGCCAATAATTGAGTGTTTTTCTTTCCAAACCTGCAGCGCTATGTAAGTTGAAAATGTGCTTCAACAGAGCTCCCAGCTGTTTCTGGAAACTCTACCCGACACAAGTAGAGTTTCCAAAAAAGTCTTGTGAGAGGAGGCACAATACTTCAAGTACAATAGCCAGAATCCTAGCAGAGAATTATAATCTATAGTCAACTGACACAAATGCAAGCCCTTAAATCAGATTTAACCTGGGACTCTGTTCTGACCACAGATCACTGGAGAATGGAAATGACTTTTGTAACCTCAGAATCAACACCACACTGAGCTACCAAGTGGGCCTAGTTGTCTGTGAATTTGACAGCAAAACCATTACTCAAGGTATAAGGACAAAGGGTCAAGGTCTGGACTCTAATCAAAAGAAAGGGAGAATATGAATGTATTGGGGTCAAATCTAAGAATCATGTTATTTTATTCTTTATCCAGCTGTGTTAACTGGCATGGAAGCAGCCAATGAGTCATGGTGGTCCCATTCAGGATGGAACAGAACACTGCCTAACCCCGTGCGACCCTCTGACTGGCTGCAGGTCAGACCACTGTGATCATGATGGCTGTCAGTCGCTGATTTTCAGAAGTTCACCAGGACTTTGTTCCTTGTTCCATTTTGTCTAAAAGCTCTGCTGAAATACATTCAGAATCATAACACACAAGCCTTTGGTGAAAGGCTAGTGGTGGCTATGAGTGAGGCACACTGGCTGGGAGTCAAACCTGGGTCTCCTACTTGTAGGGTGAGACTCCTACCATTGAATCATCACTATCGCTTTTCTAATTTGACCCTGTTAACTCACAGCGACTCTGTATGGGGTTCCAAGGAGCACCTGGTAGATTTCAACTGCCAACCTTGTGATTCGCCATCCAGAGCTGACCATACAGCGCCACACCAGAAGTCCAATTGGACCCTGTTGGTGTTGTTAAGTGGTGTCGAGTTGATTCCAACCCATAGATAGTGATCCTGTATAGGGTTTCCAAGGAGCAGCTGGTGAGCTTGAACCACTGACCTTGCAATTCAAATGGCTTTGCAGTCTAGCACATTAACCCACAGCTCCACACCAGGACTCCAACTGGACCCTAGATTCACCTAAATTTTACGTTCCACGTCTCCAAATTACTATCATCCAATAACTCCTGGTTTCAGGGTAGCCTACAGAAAAGCTTTTAGTGACACTCTCTCCCCATTGTGTGTTTGCCTCGTCGTGTACCAGCACTCACCTGATCCTGGGGGTCCATCTTGGTCATCATCCTGTCTTCCAGGAGGTTGAAGGTAAGCACCTGGAGCACATAGAGCTGGTGGGCCATTTCATTGTTGATGGCTCGCTGGGCTCGGATGACATGCTGGGGAGAGCGTTCACGAAATCCATCAAAAGGGAAAGACAGGAAAAGCGAACAACAAATGCCAACCACCCTCACGATGCTAAGGAGAAGCTGAGAAGCTTTCAATTGGGGTGCAGAGGAGGTGGGCTGGTGGAGACACCTTCAGAAGAAAGGTGGAGGTAAAGGTGAATTCAGTCCCACTTTAGGGCCCATTAAGTTTCCTGAATTTTAAACCAGGATTTCAGAGAAGATGTACCATGTGGAGGAGAGTGGAAAAGGACAAGGCACTGGAAATACACTGTCATTTCAGCCTCTAAATCAAGAGACAGATGTTCCAGAAACAGGAGTCTCTTGTGAAGGGAACTGTGGGTTTCTAGAACAGAAGCATTCCTCACATGCAGCGGTACAATAAACATGGTGAGTCAGTATCCCCCCAAATTCTGCCATTGTCATACCCTAGGGCTGTCCCTGACAAGTGACCCCACTGTTCAATGGGGATACATTTTTAAAACTACCTATATGAGAGGGTTTCAAAGAGCTTGTGGGGAAATTCCATTATTTTTTCATTCTTTTCCACCAACTTTTTGAAACCCCCTCATGTATTAAGTCTGCAGTTAATTCACTGTGGAAACTATACAGGGGCCACCGCTGTGATAATACAGTGAGCAGATTCATGAGCACTAGTTTGCTCACCTGCTAACAACTGAATGAGAATAAAAAGAACCTTCCCCATGGAAACAGAACCGAAAATGCAGCAAATATAAAAGGAATGTCAGCAGGACTAGATTCATGAGCCTATGCTTCCACCAGATCTGGATCTTGAACCGATAGTTGCCACAAATCCAAGTAATTGCATTAATTCAATTACCACTATTACTTAATTGCCACTAATTGTAATTAATTGAATGCCAAAGTCAACTAATTCAACACTTGGACCAAACAGACATGGTCCTTGGCAGCGACCATAGCCGTTTCTAAATGATGCCAAAAAACCAGTCAATGTGGTGAAACAACCCTTCAAAAACCAGTTATTTTGAAGGTGCAAGGAGCCAACAAAAAAAGCTCTGGTAGCATAGCGGATTGTGAGCTCGGCTGCCAACTACAAGATCAAGATCCGTAGTTTGAATCTACCAGTTGCTCCATGGGAGACAGATAAGGCTTTCTGCTCCTGTAAAGAGGTACAGACTTGGAAAGCCTATACAGGGTCACTGTGAGTCAGAACAGACTGGGTGTCATACAGTGACCATCACCACTGGACCCAACAAGGGCTTGTGCTCTAAGACTTTTCCCCTCCGTACTCTGATGTTGCTAGTCTGCAGACTGCTGTTTACTGATTCTAACTGACAGTTCAGCGTGAGGCAGAGCTACTGATATAAAAAATATGCAGTATTCAAGAAAAAAAAAAAAAATCAAGGCTAGAGGAGGTCCACACCTCTAAGGTGCTTCCTAGGCTCTCCACCCACCACCCCATTCTAGCACATACCGAGGCGCTATATCCTTTCAGTAAGCACCACACACCAATAGTTACTTTAAAAAAAAAAAAAAAAAAAAGAGGGTTGGGGGAAGAATGAAGGCAAGGGGATCAGTAGGGAAATCAAACTAGGAAGTCATAGGCCATTCCGTCTTCAGAACAGGATGCTAACTGGCAGTGCACATTTACTGAACAAAATGCATGGGTCCTCACATATCTGCACTTCAAGTTCATACCAGGGTGCCAACAGTGAACTGCCAGCCCTCCAATTCTCATAAAAATGTCCCACTGATCTTTGAGATGACTCTTTTCTCTGGGCATTCTATCCTCAACTGCCAGAGCATATTAATATCAAGAATAGGGTCAGGCCTTCAGGGTCCAACATTTATAGCCCTGCCTCCATCCCCCGATTCCCCCCACCCCTCCCCATGCAACACCTGCACTGCACTACTTTAATGTCACAGCTTCTACTTTGATTGAAGCCCGATATAACAAATCACCACATTAGAAATTCTTCTGCATTTCCTACAAAACCATCACTGAACCTAGAATCTGTTAGGTTGCTTTACTAAGACCCATTCAGATTCTAGTTTCATGAGAAAGAAGTTTGCCATGCCATCCCTGAAGAACTTGGGTACTTCTTTTTATCAAAGACTAATTACATTCACAGCTTTCTCTTTATCTGTGACATTCAGGAAGCTTCAAAATCAAACTTTTTGAAAAATTGCACTATGGTCTGCGGGTTCTAGAACATTTATTTCCTTTGTCCTTTTAAGCTTTTTACTTTCTAATGACCTCATTACACTGGAATGTGTGCATTTGATTATAAGCTCTCCTTGAAATGATACAAGCAGAAATCTCTTTTTCAAATGAAAACCAATGACACTTGTTTCTTTCAGTCCTGGGTTAAAAAGTCAAGTAGCAGATGAGGCCTCGGGAGACTTTGCTATTTGATTTATTTCTAAATGACTTTAAACAGTCACAATGAAACATTTCAAGATTCTTTTTCATCTAGGTTTACGATCCATCTAGCATTGCAATTAATGAATGAATTTCATGTATGTCTCTCCTGACTTTCTTTCTCTTAATACAAAGACTTGGGAAAATGATGATCAAAATGTCAGGACTCCTCTCAGGACATGGAATGTTCTAGGCTAGCTCCTTCACCACACACAGTTAAAGCTCATGTTGTTTTTTTTTTGTTTTGTGCCATTGAATTGGTTCCAACTCATGGTGGCGGTGTGCCATGGAATCGGTTCCAACTCATAGCGACCCTGTACAGGGTTTCCAAGGCTGTAAATCTTTTCAGGAGAAGAAAGATTCATCTTTCTCCTGTGGAACTGCTGGTAGTTTCGAAGTGCTGACCTTGAGATTAGCTGCCCGACTCATAACCACTACGCTACCGACTCATAGCCACCCAGCATAAGGTTTCTGAGGCTTTTTAAATCTTTGCAGGAGCACAAAGCCCTCATCTTTCTCCTGCAGAGCAGCTGGCAGGCTTGAACTGAGGACCTTGTGGTTTGCAGTCCAGTGCTTATGATATGGAACTACTGCATTCACCTCCAAGTTCATACTGATGGATATTGTTAAATCAAGGAACCCTCATTTCCTTGTTGTTAGTAGTTACTACGTGGATCCCAACTCACACTGACCCCATCTGTACAGAGTAGAACCATGCTCCCCAGGGTTTTCAAGGCTGTGACCTTTCAGAAGTAATTATCAGCCGTGTCATCTAAGACGCCTCTGGGTAGGTTCAAACACCAACCTTTTGGCTAGTAGTTAAGTGCTTACCCATCTGCTTACACATCAGGCTGAAATACAACCCTTAAGCTATGGTCAGTGTAATAAACCTGTCCCTTTCATGAGAGATTTCCAACTCAACCTGCCCGCAGATATTCCCTTTTTCTATTCCTTTCCAGCAGTTCTGAGTCCTGGTGTGGCTCTGTGGGATGATGCACAGGACCATAAGGTCTGTTTAAACCACAAGGTCGGCAGTTCAAACTCACCAGCTGCTCCTTGGAAACCCTGCAAAGGGTCCTACGGCTTGGAACTGACTGGCATTTAACAACAATAACAGAGCAGTTCCGGTGATTTCTCCTACCCATCTCATAAGGCAATTAATTCTGTCTAGGAGAGCTTGCTTTCTCCCGATTCCAAAAGCACACTTTTTCCTCTTCTGTAACTGCCCTGCTGCTTGCCACAGAAGAAACCATAAACTAAAACCAAAAGAGGAGGATAATAACACATACGTCAGCATAAAGTTACTCACGGTTAAAATGATGGAACGCAGCTGCTTCTGAGCCAAAATATTCGCCATCTCCTGTTGAAGGAAAAAACCAACACAAAAGCTTAGGTTAGAGACATACATTTCATTTCAACAGGATCCAAATGGCTCCGTTCTGGGGTGCGCTTCACAACTGTGTATAGCAGTATTTCACATGAAACAGTAAATTCACGCAGGTAGTTTATTCCAATTCTTTCTCAGTGTCCCCCTTTAGATTACAAAGCCATGTCCAGAAGCACAGGAAGGAAATGCAGCACTTGTACACTTAGTAGAATTTCCTCTGGCCAGAAAATAGGTGGTTACTACATAGAACTCAAACACTCCAAATGAAAATGATGGTTCTCCATCCGAAAAACTTCTTGGTTTTTATGAAATTATCTACACACAGAAAGACTTTACTAGGTAACACATGCCTATACACAAGTGATCCCAATATTGGAGAAATATCACTTTAAAGACTCAAATCTTCGAATAGCCATTCCATCTTCATCTGTACAAAAGCAAAGTGCATTCTAGCCCCAACACACCTCAGGATTTGGCAGTCGTCTATGCACATGACTAAAGTATGCCTTTCTGGGCAGCCGCTAAGCTACAGAATCCACAAGAACAGCATCAGACTTCAGTCCTACCTGTTGTGCTTTGTATTTTGGCCTGTCTAGCAGAGGGAGTGATTGTAATAAAGAAAATTGTTCACAGACCCCTAAAGTACAGACAAACAGATAGTAAATGAAAACCCAATAGGTGAGTACAGTTTAGGTGCAAATATTCAAAAATTAAAATACTGCTCATATTCATGAAGGCATGTGAACATTTTTGGGTTTGTTTTTAGGGGCTGATTTGGCTACTTTTACTGAGTAGAGAGGAAACTAAACTATGATCAACATACACAACTATGAACTCTACCAAGGCTACAAGTGACTTGCAGGAAGCAAGGACACCCCAGAGCCAAGGGTGAAGGGAAGTACAGGAAGCACACAGGCAGGTCGACAGAGCAGATGGGAAGGAGGCAGCAGGGGCGGGCTGACTTTAAGCTGACAAAGGGAAACATGGTTGACTTACAGTCAGAGGACAATCAAGGATGTCAGTATCGCTCTCTACATCAAGCTAACGGCGTCACCACAACAACAGAAAGGAAAGGCAAATGGGAGAGAAGAGGAGTGGAAATTCAGTGCACTCTGATAGAGATTGACAGCTTTATTTCTGTACCCCTGCTGACCCACTCCTTTGAAGAGAAGAGAATATTAATACTACAAGGTCGTTCCAAAAGACTAGCCGGCATTCAAGTCAAAATGCAAAGTTAGTTCTTCTCCGAAGCTTTGGAACTAAGAAATCAAGGGCAATAGTACAGTCAGACACACACCTAGTGGTTATTCTGAGGAACCTGTCCTTGTACAGGGCTGAGAGAGCCATGAGTGCTTCCTGAGCTAAATAGAAAAGTCCATTTTCCCCCCTGAACGGATGACAAACAAAAGCCCCAAAAGACACCACCATTCTTTCAATTTCTGTGATTTAAGAAACTGGAATTGCTACCAAAAAAAAAAGGTCTCCATTAAAAAAGAGAGAAAAGGTATTCTTCTCTGAGCCAATTATGTATGACACTTTATGAGATTTAAAAATTAGTGAAAAGGGAGACTATATTTCCAGCAATTGTAATTATCTATTTATGATATTGATCTTCTGATTAAGATTGTGGGTACCTCAAGGCTATGAAAACTGTCATTTTCACCTTGGTATTTATTCCAAGCCCAAAGCACAATGCCTGGCACAGAGCAGACAATAAATGTTTGATAAGGAATGAATGAATATTTTATGCTGCTCTTCCAAAGAACAGGAGTTTGATCAGAGAGAAAATATAACTCCATGATTTTTTTTTTTTTTTTAATTCCAATACCAAGGAATTGTTTCAGTAAACTTTAGAATCTATGGGGGAACAACTGATAGCTTTACAATGATAGAAAAGTAGGCACAGATATATTGACATGAAAAGATGTCTATAAGACATTTCGTTTAAGAAGTAGTTTTAAAACATAGTGCATATAGGAAGCTCACATTAGGTGAAACAATCACACCTGTGGAAAAGTATGTGTATAGAGTAAAGCAGGAAGGCCCATCACGAAAGTCACAAAGTAGAAAGTGAATGAATCGGTTTCCTATGAGAAAGCAACATTGGGAATTCTTATAGAGTCTTCCTTTTGAACGTGTATTTTCTGGATTTTCTACCAAATCTTATGACTTTTTTTTTTTTTTTTAATGAAATAATACTTTTCAAAACCATAAATATTTGTAGAGAGGTTTGGAAGGGATCTCACCAAAAGATATGCCATTTAAATGGCAAACTGAGTGACAAAAAATAATTGTAAGGAAAAGGACCCATTTATCCTTCAAGCTGTAACTGTTGCCACCACAAAACAAGTGCACGCCTTCCCTTCATCTGTGGGTCAGGAAGCAAAGTCAGGAAAGGCAGATGCTCCTACATCCTTTAAGAGTGGGAAAGCCCAGGGAACCCCCAATGGTGGGCTCCAAAGAAGAGAAAACTACACACCAAGCAACAGTACATGCTTGGCCCAGTGCGTTCTCTGTGTTGTTTGTTGCCTTCAAGCTGGCTCTAACTCTTGGCAACCCCATGTACAATAGAATGAAACACTGCCCAGTCCTGCCCAATCTTCATAATTGCTGCTAAGCTCAAGTTTCTTATTGTGTCTCCTGTTCATTTAAATTGCCTTCCAATCTAGGGGGCTCATCTCCCAGCACTATCGCTGATGTTGTTGTTAAGTGTCATCAAGTGGGTTCCAACTCATAGCGACCCTGTGTAGAGTTTCCGAGAGGCAGCTGGTGACTTTGAACTGCTGACCTTGTGCTATATTGGGCAATATTCTGTTGCGATCCGTAGGGTTTTCACTGGCTAATTTTCAGAAGTACATTCTGAAGTAATTTGCAGGCTTTTATTCCTAGTCTGTCTTAGTCTGGAAGCTCTGCTGAAACTTTGGAGTTCACTACAGTGGCTCTGCCTGTATCTGAAATACCAGTGGCTTAGCTTCTACCATTATAGTAACACACAAGCTGTCAATGTATGACAAACTTGACAGGTGGGTGGTAGGGACGCTCAGTAAGACTTTCAAAATAAATGCAAAAGAAAATAATGAAAATGTCTTTGCCAACTAAAAAAAAAAAAAATCTGCCTAGAGAATGTTTTAATCCATAAAGGCAGATCTAAAGCATGCTGTTGTTGTTGCTAAGTGCTATTGAGTTGGTTGGCTATCCTGTATAGCATTGGTCTGTTAACCACAATGTCAGCAGTTCAAACCTACCCGTGGTTCTGCAGGAGAAAGACAAGGCTGTCTGCTCCGTAAAGATTTACAATCTCAAAAACTCTAAGGAGCAGTTTTACCCTGTCCTGTAGGGTGGCAATGACGCAAAGGGTTTGGTTATTTTTTTGTCTTTATTTTTGTTTTTGTTTTAATGGCTACTAACATGGTAAGAGAAGCACTGAGCTACTAACCACAAGGTTAGTGGTTCAAACTCACCAGCCACTCCTCGGAAACCCTATACAAGGTTGCTGTGAGCCGGAACTGACTCAACAGCACTTAACAACAACAATGATGTTCAGAATGATTTCATGTGTTTGTTGTTGTTGTTAGGTGCCATTAAGTCAGTACTGACCCATAGCGACCTTATGCAGAACGAAACACTGCCCGATCCTGAGCCAAGCTCACTACTATTGCCATGCTTGAGTCCATTGATGCTGCCACTTTGCCAATACATCTCATTGGAGATCTTCCTCTTTTTCCCTGACCCTCCACCTTACCAAACATGAT